CTCCTCTGAGCCTGTTTCTGACCTCATCCGACTTAGATCGGACCTTCTTCCAAGCCTTTCTCATTTCTAGGGTTTCTCCAAAACCTTAAGCTATTCGAGGTTCTTTCTTTGTTTGTTTGCTTAGATCTATGCTGTATCTATGCTTTACTTGACATTTAAAAGGTATGCCCCAAATTTTTTTTTAAAATCGTTTACCTTTGATTTAGGGTTTCTGAAAGGTTTTTCAAAAGCATTTTTCTGATTCTTTCTGTTCTTTCTTTATGTGTGTTTGTCTGTGTTAGGCTTGTATGACTTCATTTACTATGCATGTACTGTTCTTCCACTTTTTTTTCTACTATGCATGTTACTCCAGTACTTACATGTTAATCTGTGTTATGTTTTCCTTACTCTTATATGATTACACGAGCATACCATGCATAATTGATTACTATGAAGTCGGATGTCGTCCATGGAGGCTATAAGAGTTTCAGTGTCAAGTGGTATCTCTATTACTTTTTTTTTTACATCAGCTATGTATGATTCTACTTTCTGCCTTACATACCAGTACATTTTTATTCGTACTGATGTCTCGTTGCCTGAAGACACTGCATTTTTGTTTCGTGCGTGCAGGTCCAGGTAGGGACTCTGATCAACCCCTCCGCTAGGATTTCGAGGTTCAGCTGTGAGTTGGTAAGCTCCACCTCTTCCTGGAGCTTTCAAAGAATGGTTACTTTTGTTGTATAGTTTGGGTATAGTCGGGGCCTTGTCTCGGCAGTGCTTATGACACTCTTAGAGGCTATTATAGACACAGTATTCTGGGTTTCATTTTGTAGATTTCAGTCTCCAGCCCATACGCTTGGCATGTATATATATGTGTGTAGGCATGTATGTCTCCAATCACGGCCTCGTCGGCCAGCTAGTACTTTATTATTTTGGCTCGTCAACCTTTGTTTATATGGCTTATTGTTATTCAGGTCATGACCTTAATGGTCCAGGCTTAGTATTTCAGATGTTGTGCTGCCCGATCTGTTGGGCCCCCAGTTTAGTTAGCTAGTATGTCTAATGGATAACTCGATCGAATACAGTATCGAGTGTCAGTCGTACCTCCCCTAGTTTGGGGCGTGACAAACTTGGTATCAGAGCAGGTCGTATCCCAGGGAGTCCACAAGCCGTGTCTAGTAGAGTCTTGCTTATGGGTGTGTTATGCACCACACTTATAATCAGGAGGCTATGAGGCATTTAGGAATGGTTATGTTTCTTTCAATTAATAGATCGTGCTATAGAGCGAAGTTATAAGAACATATGAAATCTAAATCGTGCTTTGTGTTTCTTAGCTAACAAGCTACCTACACTTAGGAGATGGCACAGCGAGAGATAGGTATGAATCCGGGGGTAGGTACCAGTCGTTCTTCACCGGGTCAGAGGGATAGATTTCCCTTAGAGGCACACAGTGAGTCTCCAGTACCCCTAGTTTCAGCTTTTTCAGCGCTTGTTGGAGCCCAGGGAGATGCAATACCCCCAGTCTCACCAGTTCCATTAGCACCTGAGGCAGCTAGAGACACAGGACCTCTAGCGCCTGTTGTTCCCCCATCAGAGACTCGGGAGTAAGGGATGAGGGAGGTAGTTTAGTTGCTGACTAGGATGGTTTCTATTCATGAGCGACAGTTAGGGTCGGGAGCAGATGCCTGGAGAGATCGGTGAGGAAGCTCTACGGTATGAGAGTTTCTTCACTTGTCCCTTCCACTATTTACAGGATCCAGTTCCACTGAGGATCCCCAGGACTTTATAGACCAAATGTATAGAGTATTGAGGGTGATGCATGCCTCAGTCACCGAGGTTGTGGAGTTGGCTTCTTTTCGACTACGTGATGTAGCCATCCTATGGTATGAGGCATGGGAGAGATCTAGAGGACTGATGCTCCGCCAGTAGAGTGGGAGGACTTCTCTGAGGCTTTTTTAGCCCATTATTTGCCACGGGAGGTTAGGGAGGCCCATTTTGACCAGTTTCTTAGCCTGAAGTAGGGGGATATGAGTGTGAGGGATTATAGCCATAAGTTTAATTCTTTGGCGAGGTATGCACCAGATATTGTACGTACCATGAGGGCAAGAGTTCATCATTATGTGGATGGTTTGGGGGATCATCTGATTAGAGACTGTAGGGTAGCATCCCTATCGGATGATGTAGATATTTCCCGCATACAGGCTTTTGCTCAGACCACAGAGGACCTTTCCCATCGGATTCGTAATACTCGTAGGGATAGGGAGCAGAGTAAGAGGGCTCGTACTAAGGGGTCTTATAGGGATCCACAGGGTGATTTTAGTCCCCCACTCCATCGATATCCACCTCGGTCAGCATGTAGTTTCCCACCACAGATGCAGGGCCAGCGGTTTGATCGATATATTTATTTAGGACAGGGGCAGAGCTCAGGCCAGCCTGAGGGCCGTCGACAGGAGCGTTCCGCACAAATGAGACAGCCTACTCCTCCATGTACTTAGTGTGGTAAGCTGCACACCGGGCAGTATAGAAAGGATTCGAGTGCATGTTATCATTGTGAGCAGACAGGACATTTTATTAGCCGGTGCCCGGGGTTAGGCAGAGGTGTATTAGCTCAGCCTTCAGGATCCACAACAGCCTATTTACCCTCAGTCCGTGCTCCCCAACCAGGTCCATAGTCTACTCAGGGCCGTGGTAGGGGGAGAGGTGGAGGAGACACATCAGGTTCGAGTGGTGGCCAGAATCGCTTTTATGCACTCACAGGCCGACAGGATTTAGAGGCATCCTCAGATGTTGTCACAGGTATATTGACAATACATTCTCCTTCCATTTATGCATTGATAGATCCCGTCTCTACATTTTCATATATTACTCTATTTATTGCTGGTAAGCTTGATATGAGATCTGAGTTGTTGCCACAGTCAGTTGAGGTATCTACGCCAGTTGGCGACTTTATTGTAGCTAATCATGTCTATCGAGGTTGTACAGTGTTAAATAATAACCGTCCAACCTTTGTTGATTTAGTTGAATTGGTTATGCTAGATTTCAATGTCATTATCTGTATGGATTGGTTGGCAGCTTGTTATGCTAATATTGATTATCGTGCAAAGGTGGTTTGATTTTATTTTCCTGGTGAGCCTGTCCTTGAATGGAAAGGTAATGTAGCCACGCCCAAGGGTAAGTTTATTTCATACCTTAGGGCTCGAAAGTTTATTTCTAAAGGTTGTATATACCATCTGGTTCATGTCAGGGATATAGATAAGGAGCCAGCGACTCTTCAGTCGGTTCCTATTGTGAATGAATTCCCGATGGTATTCCCTGATGAGCTTCCAGGAATTCCCCCCGAAAGGGAAATCGATTTTGCTATAGATTTTCTTCCTAATACGCAGCCTATATCCATTCCTCCCTACAGAATGGCTCTTGCAGAGCTAAGGGAATTGAAGGAACAACTAAAGGACTTGCTCGATAAAGGCTTTATTAGGCTAAGTACATCCCCATGGGGTGCTCTGGTGCTCTTTGTTCGAAAGAAAGATGGCTTCTTGTGGATGTGTATTGACTACAGGAAACTAAATAAAGTCACTATCAAGAATAAGTATCATCTTCCATGGATTGATGACTTGTTAGACCAGTTACAAGGTGCCAAATGCTTTTCGAAGATCGACTTGCGATTCGGTTATCATCAACTACAAGTCAGGGATATTGATATCCCAAAAACAACATTTAGGATGAGGTATGGCCATTTTGAATTCCTTGTCATGTCTTTCGGGCTTACAAATTATGGATCTTATGAACCGGGTATTCAGACCATTCTTGGATGAATTCGTGATTGTGTTTATTGACGACATCCTGATATATTCACGATCGAAAGCCGAGCATGCAGACCACTTGCGAGCTATATTGCAGACTCTCCAGGACTACAAGTTATATGCTAAATTCTCTAAATATGAATTTTGGCTAACTTCTATAGCTTTTCTTGGTCATGTTATTACCGGTGATGGTATCAAGGTTGATGGCCAAAAGATTGAAGCTGTGATGACTTGGCCTAGGCCCTTGAATCCGACAGAGGTTCGTAGCTTTTTAGGCTTGGAAGGATATTACCGAAGGTTTGTGGAGGGATTTTCCTCTATCTCTGCACCACTAACGAAACTGACACATAAGGGAGCTAAGTTTCAGTGGACTGAGGCATGTGAACAAAGTTTTCAGGAGCTAAAGAAAGGCTTACGACGGCACCTGTCTTAACTCTTCCAGATGGCACCGAGGGTTATGTTGTATATTGTGATGCCTCGAGAATTGACCTAGGTTGTGTTCTTATGCAGCATGGTAAGGTTATCGCGTACACCTCCAGATAGTTGCGGAAACATGAACAGAACTATCCTACACCCGATCTTGAGTTAGTCGCAGTTGTCTTCGCCCTAAAGATTTGGCGGCATTATCTATATGGGGTTTATATTGATGATTTCACTAACCCCCAGAGCCTTCAATATTTATTTAAATAGAGGGAGCTGAACCTACGACAAAGAAGATCGCTAGAATTACTAAAGGACTATGATGTTGATATTTTATATCATCTCGGCAAAGCTAATATTGTTGCTAATGCCCTTAGCCGGAAGTCCATGGGCAGTCTAAGCCATGTTGGAGTTGATAAGGTCAAGATGACCAAATATCTATGCCAACTAGCTAATTTGCAGGTACGTTTGGTAGATGGAGAGGGTGGATGCATTCTTGTTCAAAATACGACAAAATCTTCTTTTGTTACTGAAGTTAAAGAGCAACAACACGAGGATCCTGAGCTTATAAAACTGAGGGAAAGTATTCCACAGCAGCGACAACCTTTATTTGAGCTAACTAGAGATGGAGTCCTTAGATACCAGGGTCGCTTATGTGTACCGACAGTCGGAGAGCTCCGCCCCAAGATTCTTTCGGAGGCCCGTTATGCTAGATATGCAGTTCACCCCGGAGTGACAAAGATGTATCGGGACCTTCGATAGATCTATTGGTGGAATGGAATGAAAAAAGATATCACAGAGATGGTAGCCCAATGTCCCAACTGCCAGCAAGTTAAAGCCGAACATCAGAGGCCTGGAGGCCTAACTCAATATATTGAACTTCCATTATGGAAATGGGACATGATAAATATGGACTTTATCACTGGTTTGCCTTGCACTCCATGGAGGTATGATTCTATTTGTGTAATTATTGATAGGCTTACAAAATCTGCTCATTTCCTGCCAGTCAGGACGACATATTTAGCCGAGGATTATGCCAAGCTTTACATTCGGGAGATTGTTCGCCTTTACGGGGTACCATTATCTATTATCTCTGAACGAGAGGCTCAATTTACAGCACATTTTTGGAAATCTTTTCAGAAGGGTCTAGGCACGCAGGTAAATCTTAGCACCGCTTTTCATCCGCAAACTGATGGATAGGCAGAGCGTACTATTCAGACAGTTGAGGATATGTTACGTACCTGCGTGCTAGATTTTAAAGGAAGTTGTGATGATCATCTACCTCTTATTGAGTTCGCTTATAATAACAGTTTCCAAGCTAGTATTCAGATGGCCCCTTACGAAGCACTATACGGGCAGAAGTGTAGGTCGCCGATCGGTTGGTTCGAGGTCGGGGAAGCAGAGTTGCTAGGTCCTAATTTAGTCCAGCAAGCAATGAAAAAGGTAAAACTTATTAGAGACCGGCTGCGTACAACACAAAGTCAAAAGAAGTCTTATGCAGATGTTCGACGACGAGACTTAGAGTTTGATGTAGAAGATTGGGTTTTCCTGAAAGTATCGCCTATGAAGGGCATCATGCGATTTGTAAAGAAGGGGAAGCTCAGCCTAGGTATGTTGGACTGTATAAGACTATTCGGAGGATTGGTAGGGTCGCATACGAGCTTGATTTGCCTTCAGAATTGGAAGCAATCCATCATGTGTTTCATGTATCTATGTTGCGGAAGTGCATTGGAGATCCTTCACGTATTACGCCCATAGAGGATATTCACATTGCTGAAGACTTATCTTATGTACAGGTACCAGTACCTATTTTAGATCGGCAGGTAAGAAAGCTTCGAACTAAAGAAGTGGCTTCCGTGAAAGTGTTATGGCGAAATAACAACATTGAGGAAATGACCTGAGAAGCTGATGAGGAAATGAGGAAGAAGTACCCCCACTTATTTACGACTTAAGGTGAGTCACATTTAAATAATTGGCAATTATTTCTTTACAGCAACTTAATTGGATTTTAAATGACTTGAAAGTGTAATTTAAATTTCTTATTGCGAGATAGCTATACGAAGCCTATTAGTTGGAATCTTCAGAATTTGATTTGCGCTTTACAATGTAACAAATATAGCCTTGCAAATAACGTATTAGCGGAAAAAAATGAAACCAAGGAATTGACTTGACCCATTCGTGGAGGAATGTTCTTAAGGGGGGGGGGGAGACTGTGAGACCCCATATTTTTTTCTTTTTCTCTTACGTAATATACGTAACGTGGCGTGGTTATATTAGGTATATATAATTGGGTGTAGCACATTGAGAGAATAAGAATGAAAATATGTGGTAATATCAAGGAACTAAACTAAAGCTGTAGGTCAAAGGAATCCTTTAAACAAAGGTTCGTGGTTAAAGAAATGGCTCGGGTGGCACCCCACCCGTTCTGAAGGTTTAAGTTGATTTACACATGTGGGATAAGACCAAGAGTGTCTAATATGCTAAGAATAATATGTTATGAGGTATTATAATATCACACTGGTCACATGTTAAGTTTTGGAATCAAGCAAGTTGCGAAAGAAAGGTTGGCAAAAGTTATCGTAAATTTCTCTAATAAATTTTCTAAACTTTGGGTCAAATGTATCAGATCATTTCATCCAATATATAAAGAGTTATGGGACCCACAACCTACCGAATCGAATTTCTATGAGTCTAGTTCACAATCAAAAAAACCTCACATCAATCCGACATCGGAGTAAGAAGTTATGACTGTTTTACCGTGGATTGTCTAGGCTGAAACCGGGGCGCGAACCTGGTCGGGTCAAACAAGTAGTATAAGTCGGCAAATTCGACTTTTCAGACCTAAAAATATTTTGTTTTCGTTCTAAAACAGTAAGAAAGCTGAATAGAAGGTTCCATGGTGTTCTTGAGTGATTAAGGTGCATTTTTAACGATTTCTACCGTTAAAGTTTGCCCCCGTGCCTAGAAACGCAATCTCTACACTTTGCAATCGTTTCCCCCTTCTATTAGCTGTGTTTGGAGCTATTCTTGGAAGATAGGAATTTGTTGTTCTTGCTGGTTCTTTAGGATTTATACTTGGTTTTCCAAGGTAATCATCTTGGGACTCTTTTATGATCATTTTTACTAAGTTCTACGGACGTTTCGTCAAGTTAGGGTCATATGGAAAATCTACCGATTTAAACTCAATTATGAACTGTTTATAGGTGCGTATAAGATGAATATATATAGTGTTTTCTAAGCTTAGGACGTAAGGAACAACTTTTGTGAAGGAACTACATGCATTCAGACGTTCGTTGGAGAGGTATGTTAAGGCTAAACTCTGTCCTTCCTTTTAGCACGAATTCTGGGTAATTCCTAAGACGTCAAATGTGATATTTTACTATTCTATTGCTAGAAAGACCTTCTGTGAAAGGCATTAGGATCGTAGCTGAAGTATTTTCATGATGCTATTAGGTTGATATTCCACTCGTTCGATTAAATAGGGTATTCGACATCTATATATGTCATTTGTTCGGCTTTCTTAACTATATGTCTATATATGTGAATTCTTATTCGTCTTTGGGTTGTGTGACTAGAAAATAAAGGCATTTAGTATTTGCGATCAGTCCTTCTCCCTTGTTAAAGTGTATCTTAAAATCTCTAAAGTGACACGTCGATTTCCAAAAATCTCAAATATAATTTTTATGTTTAAACTACTAAAACACTTGATTTTTGAAATACTTTCTTTTACTAAATATCAAGAAATCAGGTATAAGGACTAAGTGAAGCACCTTAAGCTTTTTATGAACATCTTCAGAGTTAAGTTATCTTTCTAAAAGTTGAGTTAACTTTTCAAGCTTACTCAAAAGAAAAAGAAAACATATGAGGCTCCACGAGACAATTGTACGCGATACGAAGATGATTATGAGATTATGAGAATAAGAGTACCTATGATCCAAGATTGGCTAAGTTTTTGTTACGGCCTATTATGTGCATTCAAATTTCATATCATACATGGCATATTATGCATGGACTTCGAGCTATAATCGGAGGTAAGGGGCCTATTTTCCCGAAAAACTATATATATATATATATATATATATATATATTGTACAGATGGCCACAGGTTGGCAATATGATACCGGTTAGCTACTGGAAGAGACCGCCATTGCTAGCATTTGGTTAGGTATGTCATGCATTTGCATCAATATATATGTATTCACGATATACGATTACACGAGCATACCATGCATATTTGATTACTATGAGGTTGGATGTCGTCCATGGAGGCTATCAGAGTTTCAGTGTCAAGTGGTATCTCTATTACTTTTTTTTACATCAGCTATGTATGATTCTACTTTCTACCTTACATACCAGTACATTTTTATTTGTACTAATGTCTCGTTGCCCGGGGATACTGCATTTTTGTTTCGTGCGTGCAGGTCCTGGTAGGGACTCTGATCGACCCTTCTGCTAGGATTTCGAGGTTCAGTTGTGAGTTGGTAAGCTCCAACTCTTCCTGGAGCTTTCATATGATGGTTACTTTTGTTGTACAGTTTGGTTTTACTCTGGGCCTTGTCTCGACAGTGCTTATGACACTCTTAGAGGCTATTGTGGACACAGTATTCTGGGTTTCTTTTTGCAGCTTTCAGTTTCCAGCCCATAGGCTTGGCATGTATATATATGTGTGTAGGCATGTATGTCTCCAATCGAGGCCTCGTCGGCCAGCTAGTACTTTATTATTTTGGCTCGTCTACCTTTGTTTATATGNNCTAACTCTACCGAATACAGTATCGAGTGCCAGACGTGCCTTCCCTAGTTTGGGGCGTGACAACTTGTGGCTAGATTTGGGACATTAGGAGACTGACTCGCGAGGCAAAGGCATTTTGGAGTAGAGTTCTTCTCGGATTGAGGTAAGTAACAATTATAAATCTGGTTCTGAGGGTATGAAACCTCAAATTTTGTGTCATGTGATTATTTTAGAGGTGACGCACATGCTAGGTGACAGGCGCGTGGGCTTGCATCGAAAGGATTGTGACTTGGTCCATCCCGGGAAGTTGTAAAGTTGAATAACTTGTTGTTAGCTATATGTTCTCTATGCATTATAGAAATTTGACTACAAATCATGTTAGAAACCATATTTAAGGTATGTGTTAGTACTATTGGGACCCGCTAAGGTCGTGTACTTGTTGAATTAGCTACTATTTGTTGTCTTGTATTCAGTTATGATTTTACTTGTGTATCATACCTCCGTCCCTTCTTTTTTCTTATTGATAAATGTTATTATCTATGTTTGGGCTAATTTATATGAATTCTGAGAATCCGAAGGACTAGAGAGATTGGTGATTGAGTTAGGGCCTGAGTGCCGATCTATGAGCTATATCAGTGTATATGGATCGGATTGCACGCCGCAACGAGCCATATGACTATTTGTATATTATGGATCGGGTTGCACGCCGAAATGAGACTTATGGCTACTTATATGTTGGATCGGGCTGCATGCTACAACGATATAGCTCTTGGGCTGAAGGAGCCCCTCTGGAGTCTATAAACCCTAGTAAGCGCAGGTACCCATTGAGTGTGAGTAGTGAGGTTTGAGAGCCGTGTGACCGAGCTGTTGAGGGGAGTTGAGTGACTGTTGCCCTAAGAGGCTGTACTTACTTTCATCTGTTGTTGCACTTACTTGCTATCTATCATTTGTTTCTGAAATCATTTTGGAATATTTTGTATCCGGTTTTCTCTACTTGAACGTGAAACTATATAAAACTAATTTGATTTAATTTGCCGGATTCAAAAGTATGTCTACTGGCAGAAATTACTGAATGTGAACCATAACTGTGTAGCTTGTCACTATTTTCAGTTCCCTATTTATTATCGTTACTTACTGAGTTGGATGTACTCACGTTACTCCATGTGCATCGTGTGCAAATCCAGGTGTTATCGGATATGGTGGACATTGATCTCGTGTGTGGTTGAGTATCGGAGACTCACGAGGTAGCTATTGGCATTCGCAGTCCTTGTCTCTCCTTTCTTGTTATCTTTTCTTATCTGTATTGGCATTGTGACACAGGCTATTGTAGACACTGTTTCTAGACTGGATTGTTTAGATGCTCATGACTTAGTGACACCCGATGTCGGGCTATTTTGCCGCACTTATGTTTTGGGTTTACCCCATTTTTATAAAAAACTCTGGTTATTAAAAATGTCTTAATTCATTTCTGTTAAATGTTGAAAGTGTTTTGAAATTATCGGCTTGCCTAGTACCACGATAAGCACTATCACGATAGGTTAGGTTTTGGGGTCGTGACAGATAATGTCGAGGTCGTATGACCCAATCCTGAATAATGTGTACACCGCCGAGGGTCGACCGACACGATCCATATATGCATCTATTATATTGCTGAGGCATTCGACCTGCTCCACAAGAAAGGAAGGAACTTATCAAATTACGATACACGTGCTTACAATACAGTACATGAGCATAAAGTGAATATAACCCTTACCGTTTCTCAAATAGCTTGCCAACATCTCAAGGTGATAAGGCTCGGTCTTATATATATATATATGTGTGTGTGTGTGTGTCTCTCTCTCTCTCTCTCTCTCTCTCTCTCTATATATATATATATATATATATATATATATATATATTGAGTTCAACTAATTCAGATATTACATGATAAAGTCCTAAGTCTACCCAGACACAAAATGCTTTAGTTGCGTATGGACTCTCGTCATCTCGTACATAAGTAGCACCCACAACTATTATTCCATAACAATTACATCATCTTGGGGTAGTTTCCCCCTCACAAGGTTAGACATGAGACTTACCTCGCCCCGAAGTTCCAATACCGGCTCCAATGCCTCTTTAACTCTTCAATTCAAATCCAAATGATCCGAAACTAGTCAAACAATGTACAACTCAATCAAAATATACTCCAATGCGTATAATTTAATAATTTATAATGATTCTCAATTCCGCTCGAAAAGTCAACAAGGTCAATCCTCGGACCCACGTACCCGGATTCCAAAAATTCTTGAAGATAAACTTTACCCATAACGTCATGTACTCAAATATATAATTTATCCAAAATTTCATGTCCAATTTCGTGGTCAAAATCCAAAAATACGATTTCTAGAATTTTCTACCAAAATCCCACAATTTCTACTAATTTTCATGTTTAAATCCATATAAAACCATGCATTTAACTCACAATGTGTAGAAATCTCTTACCTCAAGATTGATGATGAAAATGGCTCCTCCAAATTGCCCCAAAAATTGTCCAAGCAAGAGAGGAATGAGTGAAATGAGCAAAAATCCTGTTTTAAAATAATTCTGCCCAGGCCTGTCCTTCATTGCATTCGCGACCACGTGCTCGCGTTCATGATGCCTAGCTGCCCCTTCCATTCACGCTCGCGCTTAGCCCCTCACGTTCACGAAGGCCTTCTGCCTCACAACCACCCAGCCTTCTTCGCGTTTGCGACCTCCACATCGTGTTCATCTAGGTTGCCTTAGCTCTTCTCCGTGTTCGCAACCTTTGTGTCACGTTCGCGATGAGCAAATCCCACAAACCAAAAATTCTTCATCGCGAACGCGTGAGACCCTTCGCATTTGCTAAGAACAAAACCAGACACCAGCACGAGCAATTGCAAAATAAGGAAAAATGGTCTGAAACCACTCCGAATCACACCCTAGGCCCGGGACCCCATCCAATCACACCAACCAGTCCCAAATCATGACACGAACCTGCTCGAGGATTCAAATCACACTAAACAACATCAAAACTATGAATCGACGATCGAAACCTTTTTTCCAACTTTTGAAACATTTAAACTTCGATGAATGCATCCGAATTACACTTAAACATTCCGGAATGACGCCAAACTTTACGCATAAGTCATAAATCACAATACAAACCTATTCCAAGCCTCAGAACCCCAAACGGAGATCGATAACGCCAAAGTCCACCTCAAACGAAACCTAAGAAATTCTAAAACTTTCAAAATGCCAACTTTTCACAATAAGTGCCAAAATGCTCCTGAGCAACCCGATTCCCAACCCAAATATACGCCCAAATCGGGAATCATCATACGAACCTATTTGAACCTTCAAATCATGATTCCGATATCGTACTCAAACGTCAAACCTTAGTCAATTCTTCCAACCTAAAGCTTCTGAAATGAGAATTTTATTCGAATCTACTCCGAACTTCCCAAAATTCAATTCCGACTACGCGTACAAGTCATAATACATGAAGTGAAGCTACCCAAGGCATCAACCAGTCGGGTCGTTATATTCTCCCCCACTTAAATATACATTCATCCTCGAACGTGCAAAGAACCATTCCGAAGTTTCCCAAAATCACTGTTTAACACCTCGTGCACCTACCAGTGCCACCACAATCCATGTGAGCTCATTAGCTCGAGCCAGACTAAATATACTCCCTATAACCTTAGATAACAAGCCTTAGAACCAAATTCCAACATCCGAAATTCTCCACGAGACCCGATTCTAACATAGGAACACCGTATCAATCCCTACACACTGTACCAAAACCTGATCATGCACCTATGCTGAAATCACACCATGCACCACATAAGTCATCTGCCCATAATAACATCCTCCGACCACAATAGTTGCACTTTCACTAATCTGATGCCTGCAATACACCTCATAACACATATAAGCCATGTTCCAACTCTCGCAATACTGTCACGACGAAAGAGATGCATAAAAAATCATTACCATATGCCGAATAAATAAATCATGGAGTATCTCCTCCTGACAAGAACTGTTACGTCATTATGAACTGAATAATGACATTTTCTCTTTAATATTCCCTACATAAGTCTGATTGCACTGATCTCAGGTCTAATAATCTTGTCTCACCCAGTACAAGATGCTCAAGAATAAGCTACCTTAAACACGTTCTAAAATCTCATACAACGTCAACAAGCTACAACTCGAATATGAACCATAAGGCAGAACGAACTTTGGCAAAGAACTATCCAACCCACGTAACGAATTAAACGGCCAAACCGATGTTATCACTCTATCTCAAAGATGGGAAACAAGGTACTCAAAATAAGTATAAGGAACCGTACTTAACATCTTACTGTTGCGGCGTGCAACCTGATCCAACGATGACACTGTTGCGGTGTGCAACAGATCCAAATATGACATTGTTGCAATGTGCAACTCGATCCACACAACATAGTTGTGGCAGTGTGCCACCCGATCCAAACAACATATCTGTGGCAGCGTGCCACCCGATCCACACATAACAGTCAATAAGGAAACACCCATCAAGTCGTACTGCTTATACTTATGAAATTCCCGAATATCGACCACAAGCATGCTAAGTGCATAATACAATCCCTAGGGAGACGGATAGCGCCATACGCTACAGAACCCAAGCACGACTAAGGTGAATAAATAACTAGCACCTTGAGAGCCATCTTGCTTATATAACACCACAAGCTACACAACATATGTGTAAATAATCAAGCCGTCTCATAATCCACATGGCACAATAAAGTATTACATGGAATAACTGACGACAGGAATAACATCCAACGCCCGAAGACTCCTCCATGAGCGATGCTATGGTGAATGAACACATCCGACCTAATGTAGAGCACACATTCATATTAGACCCACCAATAGAC